TTTTTTTTTTTTGAGACAGGGTCTCATTGTATTTGAGGCTGACCTGGAACTCACTTTGTAGCCCAGGCTGGTCTTGAACTCACAGCGATCCTCCTGCCTCAGCCTCCTGAGTGCTGGAATTACAGGTGTGCACCAGCACGCCTGGCAATAAATCTTATTTTATTGTAACAGGGATTGAACTCAGAGCCTTGTGCATGCTAGACAAATACTCTACCACCAAGCTCCATCTCCATCCAGCCCTTTCTTATTTTTATACTGTCTTAATCAAAGGAACTGTGTAGAAGGGTTATCCATCTAGACTGTGCACTTAGATCTAAAAAACTAAGCAATATTTTGCTTAACTGCTTTACAAAAAAGATTTTAAATTTTCTTTTCTTTTTTCTTCCAGACAGGGTTTTCACTATATAGTTCAGGCTGGCGTTGAACTGGCTATGGAGCCTAGGTTGGCCTTGAACTCACCGTGATCCTCCTGAGTGCTGGGATTACAGGCCTGCGCCACCACCTCTGGCCTAACTGCTGTTAACTTATTTGTAACCCTGGAGACTTTTCTAGAAATGCTAAATTTCTCCCTCAGTCACATTCCTGTCTTAGCATTACATATGAATCTTAAAAAATACTGCCATCTGGGTAGCTTCTGAGGGAGTTTTAAAAATATCTTGGTAGACTTACCTCCAAATACGAAAGAGCTGAGAGGCTCCTGCTGCCCCCACAAAGAAATTAACAGCAAACAGACTCCAATTTTTTGGTATAATTACAAGGGAGTATCTTGACCAGATAAATCCTGTTGAAACAAAGTATTTTCTTTTAAAAGCACAAGTACTGCTGCAATAACATCAGAATATTTAATATTAGGGTAAAATAATTACAAATAAGATTATGATAATAACAATGTAGAGTGAAAGATGAAGAAATGCTATTTACCTGAGTCGTCAAAATATCTTTGTAATTCAGCGTTAAACAAAATTCTAAGTTTGGACATTAAAGGGGGACAGGACAAAAGAATAGGAATTGAAACTTTCTTTCCTACTTGCAAGAATATTTTCATGGCGAAAATTTAAAAAACAAAAGTCCCTGAAGATAGTTATTGCCAATAACCTTCCTCTGTCCCTTTCACCCAGGAAGAAATAGCTTCCTAGAGCCGGAGAACGCTGAGAATTCCTGTGTGTGTGCGTGCGTGTGTACATATTTCAAAAACTGAGGGCTGGGGATTTAGCTCAGTGGTTTCGCCACTTGCCTTACAAGCAAGTGCAAGGGCCCAAGTTCGATCCCTGGTACCAAAAACAAAAACAAACTTTAACTACTAAGTAAACTAATGTGAAACAAAACACAAACAGTTTTTATGTTTGGCAGGAACTGGACAGGAGCTCTTTGACTTACCCGTGGCCATCAGCACAGTGGACTGAGCGGCGCTAAGCTTTTCCGCAGGTCTGGCCATGTCCGCCAACCCAGCACACACCAAGCCCTGGACACAGCGACACAGAAAGCAGGGTCAGATGCTACACACCATGACACTTCCGTAAGGACCGGCGACCGGCGCTGTCCCTGTCCCACCGTGGGTTAGGAAAATGTGCTGCGTGACGGAGGCGATGAGGATTTCCGGAAGGAGCCTCCTTTCACGTTTTCTGTTGTGTTATTATTTTTAAGCACCAGAAAAGCGGTTACAATTTTAGCTTTTTGGTTAGTTCACTTTTCTTTCACGTCCAAGTCTACATGGCCTTTTCTGCTGTGCTTTTATTTATTAATATTCGCTTGTGATACATAATTCTGTTTTTATTTTTAGTTGTACTCTGTTTGGAGGTGGTGCTGGGGATCAAACTCAGGACCTTGTGCTTGTGAGGCAGGTGGCAGTGCCGCTGAGCTAAACCCTGGGCCCTACTTGTTGTACATTTAGTAGTGCCTTTCATAGGATCGTCCCATTTGTGTCTACCATCAGCACTCAGAAAGTTTAGATATAAGTCTTCACTAGAAGGTCAGTTATGGTACTTTATGGCAGGAATCAGAAAATGTAATAAAATAATTTTGATTAATGAAAAATTCAAACCCAGAGCCATCAGTTGTGGAGACTTTACCTTCTCACCTCCCTTTCCTTTTTTCTCTTTAAAGCATACCCTGTGTATGCCAGTAGAAATTATTTCGAGGTTTTTACTGAGTTCCTAAAATACACTCTTGTATGGAAAATGTAAATCGGCTTAAGGTTTTGATCCTGAATGGAGCACAGATTATCTAAGAGTTTAACACATAAATTTAAAACAAGTCCATACAGCGTGAATCAATGAAGTTGATATTCCAACACAGCAACACTTCTAGTCTAAAAATCTTCCTGGCTTCCATGCATGTGTCCCCTGCTCTACATCCGCTCCCCTTTGGCAGGGGGGAAACTGCCACTAGCAGAAAGGGACTGACTCCTACTATTGTCCTGCTGGGTCCAGGGACCACACTGTGGCCTGACGAATAAATCCCTGAAGACGCTGAGCCACGTTTAGATCCTAGTTTGTGCTCCCAGGAGGTACTTTTATTTCCTAGGATACGGCAGTGATTGTTCTTCCTTTCCCACTTACCTGCTCTTGTTTGGAGACAGTGTTTCACTACGTTGCTGGCCTCCAACTCCTAGGCTCAAGTAATTCTCCTGCCTCAGCCTCCCGATTAGCTGGGACTATAGGTGCACATCACAGCTATAGTGCCTGGCTTTCCCATTAAAAAAAAATCCCTTTCATTCTCCATCCCTCTAACCTTACAGAAATTATTTACAAACTCTCGTTGTGAGTCTAACTTCTGCTTATTAGCTGTGTGACTTTGAACGAGTGACAGTAATCACCTACCCTAAATGCCTCGTGAGTAAAATGAGCATGTTTTTGCCCACCCCAGCAAGACTGACCTAAGGATTGGGACAGTACACTGGAACAGTGCTTAGCACAGCGCCCAGAAAACATGAGTCCAACAACAAAGTAACAGTAGCTGGCCTCCCTGGAGCAGCAGGTTGAGGGATGGGATGCTCGGGACCCTCTCCTGTGTCACTCGCCTCAGGTTCAGGCGCGGCACTACCTGCGGTCCTTTCCCACTTCACTCGAGCAGCAGAACCGCAGATTCTGGGAGCTCTTGTGCACACGAGAAGATTACGCACAATATTCCCTAGCAGCCTAAGGAAGTACGAGCTCCTCCGTGACTACGTGAGGTAGTGAGGTAAGAGACCCTAACGTGGGGTCTGGAGTCTGTTTGGCTCCGTTTATCACGCCGTGTTCTAAAGATAGTGTGTACAACCATTGAGTCTTTTGAACCTCTGTACCCCTACTTGGAAAACAGTGATATTTATTTCTCAGACTGTTTTGGGGTAAAGATGAAACAACTAGCTCCTGTTGTTCCTATCAATTAAAACATTTAAATATTTGAAGCCTACGTTTATAATTCTTTCTGGCACTCGTGTATGTTCCCTGGGTTGCAATAAATACTCATGAGATGGTTCAAAATTAATTTGTTTCTTTTCTGTCTCCCTCTCTCGCTTTCTTACAATATTTTCTTGATTATTAACAAGTGTGCCACATGATACTTTTAAAGTGTTAAAAAACAGTACCCCAGACTATTTCAACTCCAAAGTACTCAGAGATAGGAAAGTGCTCAGGATTTTAAAATGTGGATCTATGTAAAGGCTCCAGCTGGAAAAGCAAACAGGAATTAAAAATCTGCAAGGATAAATCGGAAATAACTGACTTGCTCTCAAGGAGAAGAGCAAAATTACACCAAATGGTGTACTGTTCAATAGTGTTGTGCAACAGGACTGGAAAAAAAAGGGAACCGACTGTCACACACTGCTGTAGCTTCCCCAGGTCTGCCAACGTCCCCTTTCCCTATACCCAGCCCAACAGAGGCCCAAGGCGCGCAAAGTGCTCCAGGCTGGGGCTGTTCTGCATCGACACGCGCACCTGTGCTCCCTCTAGTTGAGCCGTATCTTACCAGTCCCGGCCTCTGCTCTCAAGCCTGTTCAGCAGCTTTACTTGTTAGTGTACTTTACACAACTGCCATCCACTACTAGACAAACTGCTGAAATAGAAACAGGGCTGTTATTTCTAGGAAAACTAAAGTATCTGCTTTGGAAAATTTAAATAAAGGCAAGTTGTTAAAACCTGTCCAATTTGGTATGAATACAACAAAAGCAGGGTGGGAGAAAAGCCTAAAAATCTAGCAGGATTCTGTTCTCATAATGTGGGAAAGTATCTATTAGCTTCTCTGCTTTAAAGAAAACTAAAGTGGAAATTATACAGGATGCGCCGTGGTATAATTTATCCAAGATAGAAAAGATCATTTTGTTTCAATCAAAGTGGCAAAGAAGGACTCTACTCTAGTTAAATGTCTGAAGAAGTACGGCCTGAAAGTCTTTTTTTATTTGTTTTGGTTTTTTGAGACAGGATCTACTATGTAGTTGAGACTGACCTGGAACTCACTATGTAGCACAGATTGGCCTCGAACTCAGTGATCCTCCTGCCTCAGCCTCCCAAGTGCTGGGATTCCAGGTGTGGGCCAGCACACCCTGCTGGCCTGAAAGTCTTAATGTAGAACCCCCTGGCTTGCAGCAATGACTGTCACCTATCCTGTGTAGACTACTGCAGATTAGTAGTCTCTGCTCAGGGATATGGAACATTAACATCGAGTAAGTAGCTAACAAAAACAAAGTCCACCAGAGAGCAAGAGCTTCCTCCGGCCATGCCGTAACAGCAGACGATAAACGGTTCCAACATAAACTTATAATACATATTTCAAAAGGAGGCAGAGAAAGTCTCAGTACAGAAAAATGCCAGCTAGGTAAACGTCAATGCTAGTGGTAAAATCAACAAACGCCTAAACTGTGGTGAAATTTGGGGCCAAACAGGTCTCCAAATTTATTTAAAAATCAGCCAATGATATATTTATTTTAGAGTTCACATCCAGCTATAAAGAGATAGTATCCTTGTTTATAAAACCCTGACAATTGCGATAATGTTAATTAAAGAAGTTGACCAGGTAACCTTAAAAAAAGTAAATTGTTTGGTTTCTCCATGCCTTTTAAAACTATTGAATATCAGGACATTGATGGCTCTCAAACAACAGAGTCACACAATATCAGGCCCTCATCTGTGAGAATCCCCACCTATATTTTGTTCCAGTTAAAACCTTAAACCCCGCTACTTTTTGCCCTCGGAACCTGGCCCCCTGATCACAACTGCCTTGGGGTCACTGACGAATTATTCTCCAGTCATCTAGATCTGCAGAAAGACCTGTTGCCTGAGGTTGATTTCGTCCTGCTCAGGGATGGTGACAGCTTCATGGAAAATGGGATACGCTATGCTGGCTATGCAGAGATGACTCAAGATGAAATGGTCCAAGCAGGACCCCTCCCCACTGGATAGTCAGCTCAATGAGCGGAACTGTGCACTCATACAGGCTCTCTGATGGACAAAAGAAAAAGAGGGCAAATGTTTATACAGATTTCCTGATTGCCACTTGGTATATCTATGGCACAGTCTATACGGGTGTGGTCTTCTCACAGCAGAGGACAAATTTATTAAAATAACTAAGATATAATATAGTTATTTAAGACAATGTAAAAATCTGACAAAGTAGCTAGAATAATTCAAAAAGAAAAGAGATAATAGCAAATGGCAATGCTGAGATAGGCACATGGGCCAAAAAGGTAACTAAACAAATTAATGATTATACTCACCCCCTACAATGGGTTTATATTTTTCTAGATGGCCTGGGGCCTTCCCTATACAAATAAAAAGGGCTTAAAAAATATGTAAGATCTTAAAATTTCAAGGTTTAGTCTGCCTCTCTCCATAGGCAGTGATCATAAATAAGCATTTATAACAGATGTGATACAAGATTTAACTCAGGTAACGGGGGCCAATTAAAAATTACATTGTGCATATCAACCCCAAAGTGCAAGACAAATAAAAAGGATGAATAGAACCCTAAAAGAGACCTTGACTACATTAACCTTGGAAACTGGCGATAATTGGGAGTCCTCCTCCCTTTGATGTTGTATTATCGTCCACCCCACAGCCGTCACGGTGGACGGGATTACTGCTTGGGTTCACCGTTCCCACGTGAAAAAGGATGCCAACCCTCGGCTGACCCCTCAGCCTCCGAGACCTTAAAGATCAATCAAGGATCCCGATAACCCTCTGATACCCACTGAAGCTGAAAATTACTAGTTTACTTAATTAAAGCAGTCCTCCCTGATATGGAATAAACAGGGCTAGGAGCAGCGACTCCATCAACCTATATTAGATTTTCTAGGTTTAAAATTGGTATAGTCTTTTACGTGATTATTGGGTCTTTTGCAATAGTTTCAGGGCTTAAGAATGCTCGGTCTACTCATGGTATTTATTTTCCAAGTGGTTGCAAAGAGCCATTCTATCAATCCCCATGAACCCCAAAATATCACCTGGATGATTATTAATGTCTCCACAGGAAGAATTATAAATACTACTTCCCATGGGTCCCCCCGGGGGACTTGGTGGCCAGATATCAAATTTGATTTATGTAAGTTGGCCATAGGGACCTGGGATGTCGGCAACTGGGATCTCGATTCCCAGGAAAGGCCCGAATGTGGTGACACGGGACAGGGATGCACCCTTCCCCCGAGGCGGCCCAGGATGTGGGCATGTAGAGGGTAGGGCAAAGCTTCGTGACACGTCCTTCTACGTTTGCCCAGGAGGCAGAAGGTCCTGACAGATAAAAAAGTGTCGGGGAGCTGAGCATTTTTATTGCAGACAATGGAGATGCGAATTCACCGGGACGATCTATTGGACCCCCTGTAAAAGATGATTTGATAATAGTTACTAGGGTACCTCAGGCCCGACTAGCTTCTAATCCCCTCAATGGGAGATGCTCCTCTTTCCTGTGCAACCCCATCCGGGTGTCCTTCACTAGGAAAACAATTTCCTAGCTGGAAAGCTGGACAATATTGGGGATTACGGTTATACCAATCAGGCTACGACCAAAGAGTCCTTTTTACTATTAGACAATTTAAAGAACAGCTTAGAGTTACTAAGGGTCCCCCTCAGTCATTGGTCCAAACTCAGTCTTACTCTCTCGATCTAAACCTGTTTTCCAACCTACAGATTCCAGTATTAACTCCACTACAAAACAAACAAAACAAAAAAAGACTGGCATGCTGTATAGTCCAGGAGCTACAATGCAATCAAAGAAAGAGGGGTCTTTGCAGTTGCAGGCAACCCCCCTAGATATTGATCATTCAAAATAGTCAGAGATTCCATGGCTAAAAGTAAAAAGGGACTAGAAAAAGAAAAAAAGGAGAGGACACAAAACCAAGGATGACAAGAGAGTTGGTTCACATCCCCCTGGCTAACTTCTTTGTTTTCAGTCCTTGCCGGATCTCTAATTTTAGGTTTAATTTCACTTGTAATAAGATCTTATATAATTAATAAGTTGATTGCTTTTATTAGGCAAGAAACAAATTCTGTACAATTAATGATACTGAGACAACAATATCAGCCTCCTCCTGAAGACAAAAAAATTCTCAAGTGTCCAGGAAAAATTATAATGTCCCTTTTCTGTCTAATCCTCTTTCTTTCTCTTTCTAAGGGCTGGACGTGCATTTAGCCCAAGCACTCTAAAGGTAGACAAGTTCTTCGGGACCATCAGAAAAAATGGATCCCACCAGCGGCCCTGAAATGGCTCTCAATTCTGTATCCTCAAAAATCTTGTCTTTATTGTGCTACCAAAGTTTGGTAATGGTCGGGCAAAAATAAATGAGTCAATCAGAATAAGAGACATAGCTTTTGTTACAGGATATTGTATATAACATAGCTTAAAATTCAATCTGGTAAAAGATCTGAGACCAAATTGGGTAATAGAGAGCCTCTGGCGTAGTTAGTTCCCAATAGGTAGAGCTATAAAATTTCTGCCATTACCCTACTTTCCCTACACCCTATCCCATAGTTTATCCCTATTAGATCTATTGGGTTGCAGTTTTCCTCGAGTCACTAAAACTGACTCCCTTAAATTAAAAAAAAAACAGAGATTACATAATACACAGTTGCGGGACCTAAGGCCTAAATACCTAAAAGAAGCTGAAAGACACTGGTAAAAATGCTGCCTGTCTAATAGATACATATGTTCCTCTTACCTTCCCTAGACCTCTCCAAGAATTAACAACAAAAAGAGCTCCTACGGGATGCCAGATCCAAAGTAAAAGAAGAACTTGAGGCACATCAAAACTACCACCGGCACTAATGATACAAGACCCGACCCTGATCTCGAGGACCTAAAAGACCCTTGCCCCATTTTTTTAGGTTCCACGTCGCCCCCTTTCAGCAGGAAGTAGCTTAATGAAGAAGACGCCCAAATTCCCATGATTGGGTCCCTAAGGTCCTTGGGGGGGGGCGGGGATGTAAGGACCAAGTTTTCAGGTCAAGGTGGGCTCCCTCTGTGTCCCTTGCCCAGAACAGAGCTGCAGAAATTCCATTCTGTATGACAGTCTCCCTGTGTTTCTGATCCTCTTTTTATGATCTACAGATAAATTCTCCCTGCTTAAGATAATCAATGTTCTTTAAAAGGAGGAACTGATTTAGCCAACATAGGTACTAGTCACAGCTTACATAGGTAGCCACTACTAACATAGGCATTAGTCACTGCTTACATATGTAGTCTTTGTTAATTATAAAATTTGTTTAATCAGATGTTCTTTAAAAAGAGGAATTGATTCTGTAAGTGTAGGCATTAGTAATTTTCCAGTAAGTGCCCTCCCAGTACCCCTCAAATTTCCAATAATAAGCCAAAGATAAAAATAGGACCTATAAAAAGAAAGAGTCTCCCTAACCCTATATAATCCTACTTCAAAGATGGATCTGGGCTCTCGGTCTAAAGCTGCTGTGACGGTGAAACCTGAGGGTCCAGGCTCGAGCTTGCAATAAACTCCTCTTATAATTACATCAGACCTGACTCCTTGGTGGTCTTTGGGGACTTCGTGACTTGGGCACAACAATAGGAACTTTAGGGAGCTCTGGTATAGGGTAAGAGTACTGGGCTGAGTCACAAGTCCCATTTACTGAATGTTAACCTATATACCCGGATGGACCCATCTACTCTTTGAGACAAACATTTCTCTGCCTACCTTTATTACACATTGATATAAGTCATTTCGCTTAAGGTTTTACTTAGTAGACATGCGGACACACACACACACACACACACACACACACAGGGAGTGAAAGAGGGTTTCCGCATGTTGAACTCCTGAGCTCAAGTGATTCTCCTGCCTCAGCCTCCTCAGTAGCTGGGATTATAAGTGCAAACTACAAGCCTAGCTTTTTATTTTTCTTTTTTCTTCTTTTTTCATGCTGGAGATCAAACCTAGGACCTTGTGAATCCTGTGAATGTCAAACTTTCACTGTCTCATTAAGTAATATCCCTAGGTCAATGGTAAAGTTTGAGAATGAAATTTCATGTTTCTAGGGGTCCTAAATTACGTTTTGATAGGAAATAGACTCCTAGAAGGCCTCCTATCTAGGGACTTAGAGAAACTAAAGTGAACAGTATGTTTTGTACAGGAAAAATGAGTATTTTCTGTAAAATTATTTAGAGACTTACTGATAATATTTTAAAGTATATCCTTCATAAAATTTACCTCAAGTTAAAAGGTTTCTACTGAAGATTTTTTTTCAATAGTTTCTGCAAAATGTTCAGACTAGCCAGGCATGGTGGCCCATGCCTGTAATCTCAGCACTCAGAAGGCTGAGGCAGGAGGATTGCAGTGAATTCAAAGCAAGTCTGGGCTACATAGTGAGTTCAAGACTGGCCTGAACTACATAGTAGGACCTGGTCTCAATCCCAGCCCTCCACAAAAAGTTCAGACTTACCCATTTCATAATTGGAGCCCAGAAAAATACTGTTCTGGGGCCTGAAAAAAAAACAAAAAACAAAGAGAAAGGTTCAGAAATACACCAAATATTTTACACACATTTTTAATAGCTTTCACTAAATTTCAAAAATGCAAAGATTTCCCAATCTATTTCTAACCACATTTGCTATGTTTCCTGTAACTCTGTATCATTTAACATTTAGAAAGGTACGACACCATCACAGTATCAACCTTTCACAGGTTGTTCTTATCTCAATTATTTATATTTTTCTGACATATTAAAAATTAAGACATGGGCCGGGGATTTAGCTCAGTGGTGCCTCCACCTGTCTTGCAAGTGCAAGGTCCTGAGTTTGATCCCTGGTACCAAAAAAAAAAAAAAAAAAAAAAAAAA